CCCCACCCTCTGGAACGAACTACCCCCCGAGATCCGGACGATTCCGGATCTCCTATCTTTTCGCCGCGCCCTCAAGACATGGCTTTTCCAGCAAGCGGGTCTGGCCTAGGGAGAATTTTAAATAGGGACAATTTTAATTAGAATTTTAATGGTAACACAGCGGTTAAATATTTGTTTTTAATTGGTTTTTATTGGGGATAGTATTTGTATTGTTTTAATATGCTGTAAGCCGCCCTGAGTCCTGTTGGGAGAAGGGCGGCATATAAGTTTAATAAATAAATAAATAAATAAATAAATAAGAGGAGTCAAACATTTGCATAGCTATTCACTAAAGCAGGGGGTCTTCAAACTTGGCCCTTTTGTGACTTGTGGACTTCCCCTCCCAGAATTCCTCAGCCAGGCACATTGGCTGAGGAATTCTGGGAGTTGAAGTCCACAAGTCATAAAAGGGCCAAGTTTGAAGACCCCTGCACTAAAGGCTCTTAGTTAACCTGATGTGAACAGAGACCAAGTAGTGATTTTTTTAAAAAAAAACAACCAACAAATTAATTGCCATACATTTTTACTTATAGTCAGTTCATTTCTGGAATGGGTAGCCTTTTAAACTCTATAGGTAATTCTCAACTAATGACTGTAATTGAGCCCACTATTTTGGTCATAAGCCACGATGGTCATGAAGTGGCTTATCACATGACCAGATCCAATTTTACAACTTTTTCGTAGCAGTCATTAAGCAATCCCTGTGACCCATAGTTCACTATGGGAAATTTTTCCAGAAACGGAAAGTAAGTGCCTTTTCCATCAGAAAATATTGTGGTCACATGACCACAAGCTACAAATGGCTGTAAATGTAGGTTTGCTGCTAAGCACCCAAAATCCTTTTACATGACTATGAGGAGCCCCAGACGTCAGAGATTTGAATCCTTGTTATAAGTCCCATTTTTTGGGGGGGGGAGGGGTGTCCATCATAATTCTGGTCACTAAGGAATTGGCCATAAATTAAGGACTACCTGTATTGTCTTCTGGATCATGTTTCGAAATTATAATATGTGTTTTTTTAAAGCAACTCCAACCTTAGTTTAAACATCACAATTTGATCATAACTTTTACAAAAAAACAAATGTTTTGCTGCATCAGGCCATCTGTCCTAGTATTCTTTTTTTCAATAGTGCTGAAATCTGATAAGCTGTCACGCTAAATGGGACATAGCTGTAAAGGTGATCCAGGCAATTCTATTCATGACGAGAACTAGAAGCCATATTGCGTGGGGAGCAATGAAAAACATTGGAGTTGGGAAGACCTTGTTACTTAAGCAAGACATGAATCCTTAATAGGGAAATCTTCGTAGCATTTCCTGTCTGGGAAGAACTAAATGACCAGGGCCACTGAGAGATTGTCCTAAGTTCCAAAGGGCAGACTTGACATAGGGAAATGGAAGCTGGATCTTTTCTAGGCTTACCTGGAAAAGCCAGAGATTAAAACCAGGATTGTCTTCTTGTAAAGCAAAAAACACTGCTGTTGCACTACAGCCATTCCCTGCAGCTTGGGAACATTTTNGAACTCTTCAGCAGACAGGATCTGTAATCTGCCTCTCCTGCCAGACCTATTGCTGTGGTAAAGTTGCTTATGTCCTGATGTCTGGATTGCTTTGTATATTAAATGAATATCCTCCAGCACTGCTAATACGTGAGATAAGTTGACATGTCAGCCTACTTTAATACTGGCTCAGTGTTAGGAATTCGAATGAATTTGCAGTGGAAAGCTATTTAAAATTAGTGCATGCATATCTTATCCCCAGAATCTTTTACAAGCAATTTGTCTTTTTGTTATTAAGCAAAACCTCAAACAAATTGAGAGTGGCACTACTATTCTTGTGTGCAAATTCAGTATTGCCTTATTTTTAATTTTGTTTTTGCTGTCTTTGAAGTTCACAAATGCATTTCAGGCGTGTTGCAACATCACCATGGAAATTATACATCAAATGCAAAATCGAGTAATAAGCAGTGCAGGTTTGTTGACATTTGTGTTACCAAAAGATGAACAAATATTTGAGAGATGGAGCTAGACCAAGTAGGACATGTGTTACCTAGAAAACTAAGGGATGAGTTTGTGGTTTGCCTGTTCAGAAAACAATTCAGACTGTGGCCGTGAGGATTATGTTAAAATGCTTTCTAATCTTTGTAAAAGAGCAATATTTTGCACAGTCTTTCCCGACTTAGTGCTTTCCAGGAGTGTTATGACTTATCATTATCAAATAGCCTAAAGATTGTAATCCAACACCTTTGTAAGGTATTCAGTGTGGGCAGCCTGGTAAATAATAGTTTGTGTATGTGACATATCTATTTGATGGCTGCAAAGATTTACTTTGTTGATGGATTCAAAAAATCAACTTATGGGACTCTTTAGTATATTAGGAAATAGAACTCAGGGTGTGATACATAAATGAAAAGGCAAAATTGGGCTGATTCATTGTACCAATAAAGGAGAATATTTGTAAGTTAGGGTTGAAATGAGGGGTCCTTGGTGCTCTCTGAGCTTGGTTGATTTCTTGCAGATGTTTCATCACCCAAACTAGGTAGCATCATTAGTGCCAAGGACCTCGATTCATTGTACTTCTCTTTATCCCTGCTGAAAAGTGCCTGGACAGCTTTTCATCTATATGGGATAGATTCAAAATAGCTTCAGCTTTGTCACAGGTTACTTACCTTTATTGAACAGAGACCTCATGAGAAGTACAATAAACCTTTGGCTTTCAACAATCTTGGAAATGCATAAATCAACTCCTTCCTTCCCTCTCTACGTGAAGTTTAATATGAAAGCACTCATTACACTGATTTTTATTTTAAGTAAGTCATAACACAGGAACCATTGTATTCTCACCTGTGGTTGCTCTATGTAAAGTATAACTTCTGCAAGCAAAGCTAGTTCTTTGTCATGATTGCTTGTACCCAACTGCTAACTTCTTGTAAATATATATATATCTAGGGAGACCATAAAGTTGCCTTTCATCAAAACAAACAATAATTCTTAACTAATGGTAGTTTCCAAAGTATTGGGTTTTCTCTTATCCTGCTACTTTAACTCTTTTTAAGTGGACATTTTGTAGATTAATTTACCCACATGTTGCATGTAGCTGGTGTTTAATGTTCTTATTATTGTCCGAGTGCTGTACAAGTTGTGTCAAATGTAAATGCAAGTTTTTAAAGCATATCTTAAAAGGGTGCCAGGACAACTTACGGACCATTTTTTTGACTGAAATGTGGAATGAGTTTAATCAACTATTACATAATCTTGCAGGCAAATTTGCTTTGCTTCTGATGACATTCACCATCCGTACCATAATCAAAACGTACTCCAATAGGAAATATATTTGTTACATAAAATATATTCACAGTAACAATTAATAATGGCGTATTGCAAATCCACAATATTTTATTAAAATCTTTCAAAATTGGTTTAAACTGAGTAAATTTGTTAAAAAGCCATTTTGTGCCACTTCTTGAATATGGTATGGTAATATTTTCTGCTTTTTTTGCCTCAGCTTTTATTAAACAGTTAAATGGAAGCTAATGATGAAGGCTAAAAATTAAGGTCTGTATAAAATTTATGGTGAAAAGAAATGTATCAGTAAACACCCATCTAACAGAAGGAATACTTTAGGCATAAACTGGAAGTGTTTATAAACTGCTCATAAGCAATATAGAGCTGAACTTACTGTAATAAAATAAAATGATAGGTATTATATTGTGACTTTTCCTGCCCTCTGTCATCTGAAAATAATATTCTTGCTTAACTTCATTGTATGGAAACTTAAAGAATCAATAAAATAGGTGGCTTGTTTGTCTTTTTAGCTGCCACTGCAGAAATCTGTATCAAAGATGTACTAGGATAAACAGTTCTTTTGGTGGCCCATCTGTGCCCTGTTTGATGCTACTGGGGATGCTAATAAATCACTATTAGTGCTGAATCACTTAGCTTCCTACTTATTTTATTGATTTCTATATCAGGGAGAATCTTAAATAGGCTATTCATGTTATTTGCTGACAGTTCCTTTCTTTCATACCACTTAAAAATTCCCTTTCTTTTTTTAACTTCAGGAAACATTATTGAAAACGAGAAAGACTTCAGTGGTATTGAGAGTAAATTTTCTTTAAGAATACCTGAAAAGCCTGATGAAGACATTTGTCACCTAGTTCCTGGACAGGAAAGAAGTGTAGCAGATTGCAACTTCAATCATACCAGTAAAACTTTTGTGGTTATACATGGATGGACGGTAAGAGGAGTCAAACATTTGCATAGCTATTCACTAAAGCAGGGGTCTTCAAACTTGGCCCTTTTGTGACTTGTGGACTTCACGTCCCAGAATTCCTCAGCCAGGCACATTGGCTGAGGAATTCTGGGAGTTGAAGTCCACAAGTCATAAAAGGGCCAAGTTTGAAGACCCCTGCACTAAAGGCTCTTAGTTAGCCTGATGTGAACAGAGACCAAATAATGATTTTTAAAAAAACCAACAAATTAATTGCCATACATTTTTACTTATAGTCAGTTCATTTCTGGAATGGGTAGCCTTTTAAGCTCTATAGGTAATTCTCAACTAATGACTGTAATTGAACCCACTATTTTGGTCATAAGCCATGATGGTCATAAATTGGCTTATCACATGACCAGATCCAATTTTACAACTTTTTTGTAGCAGTCATTAAGCAATCCCTGTGACCCATAGTTCACTATGGGAAATTTTTCCAGAAACGGAAAGTAAGTGCCTTTTCCATCAGAAAATATTGTGGTCACATGACCACAAGCTACAAATGGCTGTAAATGTAGGTTTGTTGCTAAGCACCCAAAATCCTTTTACATGACTGTGAGGGGCCCCAGACGTCAAGAGATTTGAATCCTTGTTATAAGTCTCATTTGGGGGGGGGGGGGGGGGTGTCCATCATAATTCTGATCACTAAGGAATTGGCCATAAATTAAGGACTACCTGTATTGTCTTCTGGATCATGTTTGGAAATTATAATATGTGTTTTTTTTAAAGCAACTCCAACCTTAGTTTAAACATCACAATTTGATCATAACTCTTACAAAAAAAACAACTGTTTTGCTGCATCAGGCCATCTGTCCTAGTATTCTTTTTTTCAATAGTGCTGAAATCTGATAAGCTGTCACGCTAAATGGGACATAGCTGTAAAGGTGATCCAGGCAATTCTATTCATGACGAGAACTAGAAGCCATATTGCGTGGGGAGCAATGAAAAACATTGGAGTTGGGAAGACCTTGTTACTTAAGCAAGACATGAATCCTTAATAGGGAAATCTTTGTAGCATTTCCTCTCTGGGAAGAACTAAATGACCAGGGCCACTGAGAGATTGTCCTAAGTTCCAAAGGGCAGACTTGACATAGGGAAATGGAAGCTGGATCTTTTCTAGGCTTACCTGGAAAAGCCAGAGATTAAAACCAGGATTGTCTTCTTGTAAAGCAAAAAACACTGCTGTTGCACTACAGCCATTCCCTGCAGCTTGGGAACATTTTCTTGAGGCTAGCATTAATATTAGGAAGTCTTGCAGTAAGAATGGTAAAGAAACTTGGAGCTCATTCGACATCCATGTTGTTCGTTAATCCTTTTTTTTTTTTTTAGCTGCTAACATAACACACACATTTGCATTTCTTAAACTTTATGTTCTCCAAAGTTTAGGTCCAAGTGACCTGAGCATTATCCCAGCAGGGTTCTTTGTTATAGTAATTATGGTTTGTTATGGGAGAAATAGGAGACAGGGGTATTAGCTATGTTTATCACTTTTTAATTATATATTTAAAAGGCGGGATAAAAAATAATAATTGTAATTATTATTATTAAATAAGTGTCAGGTGCAAAAAATCGGGAACCAAGATTGTTCAAATGAGTACAGTTTTAATCCATTCTAGTTCATTCCAAGAATCTGAACTACTAACAGTCAAGGCAGATTGTCAGTAGATAAAAGTCCATGTAATTCAAGAAAGAATGGACTTGAATCTCTTGTGGGCGTGAAGGGACCCCTCACTAGGGCTCAGCCTGGTCATCATCTACAATCAGCAGCCACATAACTTGCTTCTTCACACCAAGGTCTGCACAAGTTAAAAGAAAACTAACAGTTGTGCTTTGCTCAACTTAGATACATTCAGTGCAAATCCTCTCAGTTCTTTCTAAAGTCTTCTTCATTTTCCTCTCCCCTGTATTTCCTTAAAACTGCTAGTACTCCTCAGCAAAAAAACCACAATATTTTGCTTTTTGTCACACAATTGATTTTCTAATGCCCTTCAAATAGCCACAACAGCATGGGGGTTACTTGGAAAGGCAGGCATAATTCACTAGTTCTCCATTTTGCAATAAATATATAATGATATTGGCCTTTGCAAAAGTTGTGGCGGTGAATTTCCTATCAAAGGATTAATCTTTTATGGATTAAAATATAATACGCCCAGGCAGCTTTTCCCAGCTGGATATTTTCCATATGTTTTGAACAATTCCCATAAACTCTTAACATAGAAATGTATGGAAGCTTTAGTCTGCTACATTTGTAGAGCACCAGATTGGACAAGGTTACTATCAATGCACTCCTAAGCTTGTTTATGGTTGCTTATGGTTACTTACTTTGAAACTATTCGATGATTATATTTCTTATCTCTGTAAATGTACTTAATATCTATCCTTTGAGGTTAATATTATAGACTGACATAGAGTATCGTATTCTAGGTGACTGGCATGTATGAGAGCTGGGTTCCTAAGCTGGTGAGGGCACTGTACAACAGGGAACCTGATTCTAATGTCATTGTGGTTAACTGGTTAGCTCGAGCCAGTTTGCATTATACAACGTCTGCATACTTTACAAAGGAGGTGGGAGAAGATCTTGCTGCATTCGTTGATTGGATGGAGGTAAGCATCTGTTTGCAAGTTCTGTACAGCACAATATCTCGAGAGTTAAAAGTGATGAATACCTAGAATCCAAGATAAGGGCATTTCAAAATGAGGAACTTAGAGCCTGCTAAAAAACAGCCCTTGGGGTTTTGATTCCACAATGTTAGCTATATTTATTTCTGGCTGAACTGTATTTGAAACTGTACTTAGCCATTTTTTAAAAAAAATAAAGTTAAATGGACCTTAATAGGTGGTCCATTTTCTGCTTCATGACCCTTCTTGCTCTTGCACTTTTAAGGGGAAAAGTGGCTTGATGCCTTTTCGGCACTCCCATTATGTGGCTAGCAAAATGCATACTGCATGCAATAAGGCCTTGGAGTGAAAAGCAATTTATTTTGTTCCTCATTTCTGTGGAGTGGTGAAGAAAGGGGATTTGTGGCAGGATCTGCCATAACTCAGGATGGAGCAGTTATTTTTTACTGTCAGTATATCTCCAATTTGTTTGTGAAGGTTTCCAAAGTAGAATAGGTGGATTCTCATGATGGATCTATTGCCGTGCTGTACCCGCTAGTGAGAATTACATGATGGAATGCTTTCTCATTGGGAAAAACATGTCTGCCGGGTATCTGGCATATGAAATATATGCTAACATATGTAATATAGATAGTTCCATAATATTGTTATTCTCTGTTAATTCTTATTTTTAATATGTGGAAACATCCAAACATTCATATTCCAGCTCTTGCCTGAAAAGTTTTGTTAGCAATACTTGCACTGACACTACTATTTTTTATGAGAAACAGTGTCCATAATGATGGTTGGAAAATTGATGTAGTCCTTCACTTATGACCACCATTGAGCCCAAAATTTCTGTTGCTAAGTGAGACATTTGTTAAGTGAGTTTTGCCCCATTTTACCTCCTTGCTACCGTTGTTAAGTGAATCACTGCGGCTGTTCTGGCTTCCCCATTGGCTCTGCTTGTCAGAAAGTCGCAAAAGGGGATCACGTGACCCCCATGGCCTTGCAACCGTCACAAATATGAACCAGTTGCCAAGCCACTGAATTTTGATCACGTGACCATGGGGATGCAGCAGTGGTTGTAAGTATGAAAAATGGTCACGAGTCATTTTTTCAGTGCCATTGTAACTTTGAACAGTCACTAAACGAATTGTTATAAGTTGAGGACTGCCTGTATTAAATGCAAGCGATGTCAAGTCTTTTAAGTATCAGTTTTGTAATTAAGGAATGAAGATAGCTGAATGTTCACTTATATACTCGGGACATCTTTGACCTAGAGTGATTTTTTCATTCCTGATGTGCCAAATGTGCCCTCTGCTGGGTAGTGATGAATATATTGCTGTTCTTCACATTCTTACATTAGGGCTGTCCAAAGCCTCTAAAAGAGGGCCTTGAAACAGACAGGAATATATGGAACAGCTTGCTATGGATTGTTAAAGCTGCTGTGTCTTTTTTCAAGCTATGTATGGCTATGTTGGAAACTATCTGTGCAAGTATTCTTAATACACTGCTGCTTAACTCCATGCATTCTTTTGCAGTCTCCCTACTTCCATCATGATAATATATAGTCCCTTCAAATTGCCTTCTGAATGCATGAGGCTGTTCTCAAGTAAATTTTGGATGCAACCAGCTACCCCCAGAGTCATTTCTTGTGAACGGGCAGCCATATAAATTTGATCAACTAATACCTTTAAATGACGTGGAGTGGAGAACTATCTCTCTGTTTAGATCTTCATCTGAAATTCAGTTCTTAGGAGCAATGAGGCGTGGTGCTGATTCTTGGAAAGGAGACAGTGATTTTTTTTTTTTATGGCTGTTGAGAGTACGCACAAAAGATTGGAGGAGGCCTTGGGAAGTTCACTTAAAATGTTACTAGGTGGCCTTCTTTCCCCATTTCCTCATCTGGGCAGGTGGGACAGAGCCACAAATTGAGTACCACTTTCAATGGAGAGTAAACATGAGGCTAGGCTAGTTCCCATACTTTACATTTTGCAGAAAAACAGGCTGTAAATGGAGCTTGGTTCCCCTTGAGCCACAACCCACATGAGGATAAATGTACAAATTTGTTAACGTTATCCGTTATGCAGTATCTCTAGGAAATTTTTTCTCTCTGTATCTCCATCTCCAAATCCATCCATCTTTCTTTTTAAAACATAAATTATTACTTTTTCACCAGAAATGCCTATCTTCCTTTAGTATCTTTGCCAATAAATGCTCTTCTTACAAATAAAGCCTTTGGGCAGGATGTTGAACACTGCTGGATTATATTTTTTTTCTGGCTGCTGTTCTATTTATTTTTTGTTATGATACCGTTTTTAAACGTTGTATTTATACTTAAACTTTTTTTTTAAAAAAAATGTGTTCCATCTTGTTGATGGAGAAGGCTGAGTTATCAATAATTCAGAAAAATGTATCTCTGGCTTTAGAAGCCTTTCTGAATGTTTTAAGCATAACATCCTTTTTGTTTTTGTTTTTTTTAAATCCACTTTTCTTTTGCTGCTCTCACGTTTTGTCCCTTAGCTGTCTTACATAGATTTTTACGTATTTGCGTTTTATATAAAAGTGTGCAAATTTCCTGCTGTTACTATAATATTTTTGTTCTTGAAGTGAAACTGGTCATTTGTTTTTTAAATAATAAGCAAGTTAAAATTTGCACTTGAACCTTAATATTCTAAAAACGATTGTTCTCAGGAGCAGTTCAGTTATTCTCTCAGCAATGTCCATTTGCTGGGATACAGCCTCGGTGCCCATGTTGCTGGCATTGCTGGAAGCCTGACCAACAGAAAGATTAATAGAATTACAGGTAAGCAAATCATCATTGCTATTAGAATAATAAATAGAAGGAGAAATACAGTGGATCATTCAAAGCACTAAATATTTTAGAATCCTGGCATAAGTCGATAGCAGCTATTATAAAATGAGGAGCTAATGAAAACTCTGCTTTTTCCAGCATACATACCATTGCTTTTCCTTCAAGATTCTAAAGAGCCATTGTATGTTACAAATCCTCCTCCTCCTCCTTCTCAAAATTAAAAAACAAAAACACACAAAAAAGTAAGTGCCTTAATGGCAGTCTTTGCCCTGGGAAGTCATTGGCTTCAGTGGGATTTATGAACTGAGGATTTCTGCCTTTATGAAAGCAACACATGACCTGCAAAATAAGCTTTTTGGATGGCAATCTTAAGCTTTTTGTTTAAGTGAATACTTATTTGAGACCTTAATTATAACTTTGGAATTAACTGCCTTTGCAGACAATCGTGCAATTCATTTATAAATGCTGGAAATTGATTTTTTTTAGAAGAGGTGCTTGACATTTCAGAAATATTTAAAGCATTTATGTAACATTTGCATGATCCTTTCATGGTTTCGTTCTATATCAGTGAAACGTTTCATATTTTTTTTTCTTTTAACTTCTTTATATTTGAATTTTTTGAAACGACACTAAACTGTTAAAGTGTTTATCTTGCTTTGCGTATAATACAGCAAAAGATCAATAAACAAATCACTGCAGCTGGTCATCGACTTATAACCACAATTGAGCCTAAAGTTTCCATTGCTGAGCAAAGACCATTGTTAAGTGAATTTTGTCCCGTTTTACAACTTTCTTGCCCCAGTTCTTAAGTGAATCACTGCATTGATTAAATTAGTAACATGGTTGTTAAGTGAATCTTGTTTTCCCATTGGCTTTGCTTGTCAGCATGTCACAAAAGGTGATCGTGTGACCCCAGGACACCGCAACCACTATAAATGCCTGCCAGTTGCCAACAGTCTGAATTTAGATCACATGACCCACGGGGATGCCACAACAGTTATAAGCGTGAAAAATGGTCATAGGTCACTTTTCTCAGTGCTGTTGTAATTTTGGTCACTAAGTAAATGGTTGTAAGTCAAGGATTACCTATATTTTTATGAAAGATTTTTTTTGGGGGGGACATAATATCTTAGGCTTCACGTTGACTGATTATTCTAGTGTTGCCTGCTATTTTGGGCACAGCCTAATTGTAGCTGAGTTCTTGTTTGTTTTAAAACTACAGCCTGCCTCCTTCCTTCCTTGTTTTTTCAGGACAACAGTTTGGTGTTGTGCAGGGGTGAGGAACCTTGTCTCTTTTATGACTCGTGGACTTCAACTCCCAGAATTCCTGAGCCAGCCATGCTGAGGGGAAAGAGAGAGGTTTCCAAGCTGAGCCATGCTGGCTCAGGAATTCTGGGAGTTGAAGTCCACGAGTCATAAAAGAGCCAAGGTTGCCTACCCCTGGTGTAGTGCTTAAAGCACTAGACTAGAAACTAGGTGATCAGGAGTTCTAATCCCACCTTAAAGATGAAAGCCAGCTGGATGACTTGAGACCAGACACACATTCTCAGCCCAGCTTACCTCTCATGGTGGTTGTGGGGAAAATAGGAGGAGGGAGGAACATTAGGCACGTTAATCGACTCAAGTTATTCACCGAAAGGATAAAGGCAAAACATAAATAAATTTCTCATTTACCAGAGAGCATTGTAAAACCCAATAATATTGACAGGAATTTTGGCACCGATAGTGAATAAAAATATGGACCATATCTGCAATTTTTCATCACGATGCTGCCCAGGGCATCCAAATAACGTGTCTCTTTCTTTTACGCTTGTCTTCGCATTTAGGGTTAGATCCTGCTGGGCCCCTCTTTGAATATGCTGAGGCATCCAGGCGCCTTTCTCCAGACGATGCCGTCTTTGTAGACGTCTTGCATACTTTCATCAGAGGCTCCCCAGATCGCAGCATTGGCATACAGCAGCCGGTGGGCCACATTGATATCTATCCCAACGGAGGTGGCTTCCAGCCAGGTTGCAATTTAGCTGAAGCCCTGCGCCTGATTGCCCAGAAAGGCTTCCAAGGTAAGTTTTCAAATCTGAATGCCCCTGCCCCCCACCCCCACTACAAGGACAATGATATCAGGAAGGTTCTGTGGCCACCGCTATTCATGACTTAACGTTAGTTCTGTTCAGAATTGTTTTCCTTTCTTAGATTCATTATGGAAACATCTAGTAATGAAGGAGTTTGTCTTTATTTTTGTTCCTCAGGTGGCCCAGAGGTTTGCTCACACTGGGTCCAAATTAAGCAGGGCTTCCTCTCCCCCCCATTAAACTATCTGTTTACCTCAGGGATTAGAGGTAGTCCTTGACCTGTGGCTCACGTATGCTGTGTATGAGCTTGGAATTACAGTCATTAATCCTGCTGATTATTAGCGGGTCATCATGTGACCAACCCAATTTCATTTTTTGCAGTGGTTGTTGAAGGACTCAGCCATTAAGTAACCTCTTGTCCGCAATGGGTGATGGGGGGGGCACAAATAGTAATTAAATACCAGTTTCCAGCAAAAAAATGTCATAAATCGCATTCATGTGACTGTGAGATTCTGCAAACAGCCATAAACGTGGGGCGGTTGCTGAGCGCTCAAAATGTGATCATGTGACTATGTGGGGGGGATGTTGAAAGGACATTTGGGGGGGCTCTTATAACTTTGAATGGTCGCTAAGTGACTGGTCATAAGTTGAGGACTACTTGTATTGATCTATGACTAATATCCCTTCTCAAGTTACAGAAGATTAAAAGTAAGGGAGTACTGCAGAGATACACAAGAGGTGTCATGTGCTAGTGCTCTGCTCACTTTTCATTGCATGCATATGATAACTTCAGCTGTAGTGATAGCTGGTCCACTATGTGTAGCATGTAAACTGTATTATAGGTTGTGCTTATCTATGTGTAGTCAGTTATACATACCCACTATTATGCTCAAATATTCAGTCTAGACCAGGGTTGGGGAACAGTGACCCTTTTACAATCTGTGAACTTCCAGAATGGCTGAAGTTCACATAAAAAAGCCCATAGTTCTCCATGCCTAATCTAGACTCTCCTTAATTTCTTCCTTATCTAGCAAATACAATGAGCTATAGATCATTGTGGTTATGATCAGCAGTATTGTATAATTCCTAATTGGAGGACACTGTTGATGAGGTTTAATGCAGGACAGGAGAAATAGCAGCCAGGTAGGGTGAAATAGTACTGAAGAAGAAGCAGTGAAGGAAAACAATGGCATTCAGTGTGACTAAAAATGAACACTAGCTTCACAACTGAAGTATTTTTCAGAGGGTGAGAGAATTCTCACCAAATTTGTTATACTAGAGAACATCTGACGCAGACTTGCTTATCGTAATTGCTGAACAATAGAAATACGTCTCTGTACAGTGCGGCTTATGTTGTTTTTTCTTCCCTAAGAATCTGATCAGCTGATAAAATGCTCTCATGAACGCTCCATCCACCTCTTCATTGATTCCCTCTTGTATGAAGAAAAACCCATCATGGCGTATCGATGCAATTCAAAAGAAACATTTGAAAGAGGGCTTTGCTTGAGCTGCCGAAAGAATCGTTGCAACAATTTAGGGTATGAAGTCAAAAGAGTGGGAAACAAGAGGATCAGCAAAATGTATTTAAAGACCCGTGCATATGCGCCTTATAAAGGTATTTGATCTGCTGCAAAACTTTTATTTTTAGGTTACTGCCCGTAATATAACATGTGAAAACAAACTAATTTCAGAACAAATTGAACCAGAAAGGACTCTTGCACAGACCTCATTGAAATAATAACATTTTGCTTGATTAAAGTCTGAGTTCATTATAAATTTAAGAACGATAGACTTATTAGATTCAAATTATGCACTTGTTTTTAATAAATCCTACTACTGAAATTGAAAATTAAGCAGTTCATGTCAAATGTGATACATTTGTATTTTTCAGGTGCATAATAAGTTCTAATATCAATCCCATGACCTGATTTTTTTTGTAAACGAATACAGATTTTCTGAGACAGGATTCCCCCAGAATAGTCAGTATCAATTCCTAAGGCTTGATGAGACTATCCATTATTGATATTAGGTTGTTATGTGAGAGTAATCTACAGTTAGATTCACAATCTAAGACTGGTAGAAACTTAATTGAAGTCCTAACTAAGAATTGTTAGGGTAGAATCTATGAATAAATATATTCATATGTATTATTATGGTTGTTGCGCAGCCAGCTGTTTTGACTGGATTTGGCATTTTTATCTACCTGAGTCCTTCCCAAGGACCTGCGATAGGCAGATGTTATTTGATGCTGTTGTTATTTGCAGTGCTATTAATTAAATTAGCAATGTTATTTTCATACAATAAATATTTGGGGGGGCAAATATTTCATAATAAGAGACCATTCGGATTTATAACTGAATCCTTTTTACATTACAGCAGAATTAGATAATTTATACTTAGAATTAATCAGTTGTAATAGGAAGAAATTCCTTTATCTCATACAATCATACTTAGTATTGCAGTACAGAATTCCCAAATAATATTTGATCTGATCTTCAAACGTTGTGGGAAATTAGATGGGAGACTATCAGCACTTTATACCATCCCCTTCTGTTTGCAGATTATCTGAAATTATTTTGGGGTTAGGGTTAGGGTTTTTTAAACTTATGAAATGTTGTCTATAAAATTACTTTGCATGCTTAAGCATAAAAGTACTATCTTCCAAACCAAAACTGGCAGAATTTATTAACAATATTTTTCATCTTTTGCTCTCAGTCTTTCATTTCCAGGTCAAGGTACATTTTTTTGGAAAATTGAACATTACCAAGAGAAACGAGCCATTTCTTATTTCTTTTTATGGCACCAAGAAGGAAAGTGAGGACATACCGTTTGTAATGTGAGTATCAGCTGAAACAGTTGCCTACACATTTATTAATATACTGTCGCATTATGTGGCAGCTAGACTTTTTTAAAAAAAAATCTCTTCCTATTGGCTGCAGAAATTGCTTGCAGAATCATTTGATAATGGTTCCTGCATGTGTGCAGATTGTGGGTTTTCACTAAAGGATGTGGTACATTTTGTTCCATTTAATTGTTCCGAGTGTGTTTTAGAAGGAGTTCTCAGATAACTTTTTGCATATTATACAAAAGTGAATGATCATCCCTTTTCTCTTACACTTCCTTTCAAGTAAGTGTAAAAAAGAGATAATATTTAGGCTTTTGACACGCCCTGTAAGCACAAAGAAGGACAAATTGATTGTATTCAGTTGCTCTGTTTGGGAAATGTACATTTGTATATAGAAAGTTGTACAAATGGTGACTTCCCATTATGCACTTCTGCTTGGGTGAAGCAAATAAAATGTGCATCTCATGAACCTGAGATTAGACCTTTTGCATTACAAAGGCAAGCAGCTAAGTGGCAATAATAGTAGCCCTTAAAAAAAAATAAGTATGGAAGATTCGCTTAATGATCATGTGTTACAAACTAATCATTTGCTAAAAGGCAATCTGGTGAGATGCTCCCTCGTTGAAAATCGGCTATTTCCTAAGAAAGCCTATTGCTACATTCTAGCCTCCCAAATTTTTTTGGGAATTAAAAGTATATAAGGGATTGGTCTGTGAGCATACTGGCACTTACCATTCATGCTGGAGGTAGAATGGGATCTAGCAGGACTAATAAAGAATGGGATTAACCAGTTGCATGTTTTAATCTGAATTGTCTCAGTTTGCAGTCACCCATAGTTGTGCTGTCAGCTTCTATATTGGGCATGTGCTTGTCTGGATGAAAGTGATCTGGAAAAAAGAGGGCTGGTACTGAGAAAAAAAATTGTTGTAAGCTGCCCAAAGTCACATGTTTGTGAAATGAGCAGCTATATGAATTGGACGAATAAGTAAAATTGATGCTTCTTAAGATATCTCCCTTTGACTTTATATGATTGCTACTGTGAAGATTATACCAACTTTCCCAACCCAGTCCTCTCCAAATATATTTGAGAGTTCAGCTCTTCTATTTCCAGCAATCTCTAGAGTTGGAGTGGTGTCATATCTGGAGAGTTAGGAAAGGAAGATTTATAATAGGAGGCCAACTTTGCTTGGGTCACGAGTTGCTTCAGCCTTTAACTGGCATGCCAAGGGCTATCACTCTGAAAAGGAGTGAGTCTACATCAAAAAGTCAGGTCAAAACAATATTTCAATTAATTAAGTAACTCATATCATTATGAACTTCTTGAGATGGAAGGAGAGCATTAACTGTTAAGGAAAAGAGAAGTCTTGGAGGGCTTTTCAGCTGACGGGGAAGAAAGTTGGAGGGATATAGGGTTAGAGAAACCAGGAGAGACAATAGTGGTGGAATGGAGGACAGTATGTGAAAGGCTGGGCTGATATATCTGAAATTTAGCAGGTAAGAATCAAGAGTTGGAGGATGTTGGAAATGGCATCTGGGTCCTTAACAGGCCATCAGGATTCTCTGGATTTACAAGGAAGGTATCATTTTTATGATAGCAATAGCACTTAGACTTACCGGTATATACCACTTCACAATGCTATACAGCCTTCTCTAAGCGGTTTTCAGAGTCAGCATATGGCCCCCAACAATCTGGGTCCTCATTTTACCGACCTTGAAAGGATGGAAGGCTGAGTCAACCTTGAGCCGGTGAGAATTGAACTGCCGAACTGCTGGCAGCCGGCAGTCAACAGAAGTAGCTTGCAGTACTGTGCCACTGTGGCTCATTATAGGATTTTGCTGCTTCTGAATTAAAAGGTTTTGTTATGTCTTCTGAATGAAAACCTTTTTTCATGTTCTCTGATAAAGGAATAAGATTCTGAGGTGAGTTGAAGACAAGCACTGACTGAACTTGTATTTTTTATTTTATTTTTTAAAACCAGGCCTGAGATCTCCACTAACAAAACAAGTTCCTTCCTGGTATGTACCGAAGTTGATATTGGAGAACTGCTTATAGTAAAACTTCAGTGGGAAAAAGAATCTTTTTTCAGTTTTAGATGGTGGGATACCCCTGAATTTAGCATACGAGTAGTCAGAATCAAAGCTGGAGAAACCCAGAAAAAGTAAGTTTACTTTTATTTATTTATTTTCTGCAGTCAATCATTTTGTCACCATCCAAGGTTACTGATTATCTGTTTGTTCTCTCTTGGGTTCATTTGTATGCTGAGTTTTCTGAAAGATAATCCCATATGAATTAATGATAAAAAAAACTGGAGAATTACAGTGGGTGTTCTTCCTTAATCAAGGCACTTATTTCATGCAGGAGAATGTTTTCCATTGCCCCCTCTCTCCATTGACAGCTTGCTCATACTAATGGGAGAAGGTACAACAAAGAAGAGTACATGACTATTCCCTATTCCACAACCACAGTGCTCTAGTTTCAACTCACATAGGATCTTTGAATCACTATAAATAACACTGACCTTTAATTTGTTACTGCTACTAATACTCTCCCTTTCAATACTATGATTCAATATGAGAATTTTCTAATCCTCAGTTGTATCTTAGAAATAATGCTATGTTCTCTAGAGTACTAAGTATATAGTAAACAAGTAACAAAAATGATGTTGGAAATAACTTTTATACAGGATACCCTTATTAATCCCATGGTACAGAGATATTATAGTAATACCAATATCCTTGTAATTGCCTTGGTCTACATGGAAAGATGAGAAATTTTCTTGAATAGTAAAATTGATCCAGAATTACAAAAACTGATGGAGAAGCTGTAGAATAAATGCCTTGAAATATGTCTAGTTTTTTTTTCAGAAATGTGGTACATTATGCACTTTGGCATTTTCTGTTATTTAATATATGGAATTAGATTGAATTATTGATTCTGCATATATTTATAGATCTTATTTTGCTTGTAGGCTATGATTGATTTGATAGTAATGGTTTCCTATTTGTAATGGCTCACCTTCACAGTTCAATTCTGATAGGCATATCTGCTAAATACTCACCTGACTACAAATTAATATTATAAAGACATAGTAGATATTGTTTTTTTTTAATTTTTGGACTAACCAATCAGTTAATGCCTTGTCAGAAATTCTATTTTAGATACAGTTGAGATAATGAAATATGACTTTTTAGAAGATGAGTTTACAGCTACTTCAGCAGTTCTGTTTATTGTATAGGTTGATGTTCTGCTCACAGAATGGATCTTCTTTCCTCCAAAAAGGGGGTGAAGCTGCAGAATTTCTGAGATGTAATAAGAAAAAACATAATGACACAGATTCGTGGTAAGAATTCTTTCATTCACTATGCAGTGCACCCCTGAAAATTCATTCCATCGTTGCAGTTGTCAAATAGTAAGAAGCAGGCTTTTTGGACAGAACATTGTGTGACACGCTTTCTGTTTCTGATGTCTTTCTGCTGCAGGTTGGGTTGGAGTGATAGAGGGAATTCTGTATATAAACCATGTGAACATTAGAGAGTTATAGTGGAAATTAACAATTTCCTCTAACATGCTAGCTTTATGTGTTCAGGATATTCTCTCAACTTTATGGAGAGATCCTATTCAAACTATAGTATTCCACCTGCATTTGGGAAAGAAAAGCTGAGCTGAATGGTTCTGCTAGATCAGGGGTGTCAAACTGCCGGTCCGCGGGCCGGACGTGTCACGACAAAACCGTGCCCACCCGATTGCTGGCAATGGGAAAATTCCGATATGTCACGTGACGTTGCGAGTTTGACATGTCTGCGCTAGATGTATAACTTAGTTCTAAAACTAGGTAATTAGAAGAAGAGAATCCATTGTCAATCATAAAATGCAGTAGATACAAGGCATCCCTGTCTCTCCTGCAGGCATTAATTTCACAGAATATATTGCTCTTAGCAAAGCCTGAATAATTTCTTAAGAAACAAAAGAGGCAGCTAAATAGACACCTGAACCCATGATAGGAAATGTTGAAGCTAGATCGGAACTTCAGCAGAATGTCATAAAGCTTCTCTCCTTAGGAATGTATTGCTTGTTCTAGAACAGGGGTGTCAAACTGCCGGCCCGTGTCACGTGGAAACCGCGCCCACCCCATTGCCGGCAATGGCAAAACTGGCCCGATACGTTGTGCGACGTCGTGTGACGTCGCAAGTTTGACATGCCTGTTCTAGAATCTAGATTTTAGGGAGGTAACAAAGGACTTGAATGTTTTCTGCAAATTCCAGGAGAGATAGAAAATATATTTCACTAGATCTCTGTGTCTCACGTTTAGCCACTGTTCATGCCATAAAGAGTCTTTGTATGAAGACTGATGCAGATGAAGCCCTTCCACTTCTGAGAACAGAATTCTGCACGTGAGAGAACTAGCCAAAAGTTTTTCTCTCATAATGCTAATACAGGGATGTGATCGATGTATTTGTAGTAGAGAATGAGTAGGAAGGATAGGGATTTAAGTATATTATTTTCCCTGTGATTTTTAAAAAATATATTCTGTACTTTGCATCTCCACACTGTTCTGATTGCTTGGAGATTTGAAGGAATTTAGAGGAATCCAGATAGAATTTGTAATTTGTTATTAATCAATCACCTTATTAATATTTATCCCCACAAGTGCTTTATTTCTAAGAGTGACAAGTCTTTTGTTAGTATAGCTATCAAATTTGGGCAGCAAAAATACAAAAGGCCTCTAGACCGCAGCAAAGAGTTGGGAGTTTTCTGCATTGTTTTGCTGCCATTTAGTGGCTGAACTGGATATTTGCACCTCACGTCTAGTAACCATATTTATTTGAGAACGGATATTTAGGAGTATAAAGTTCTGTTTTGCTATCTACTTTTTTTTTGTACTGTGACTATGTAGCCATTAGATTTGTAAAGCAGGGTTATAAAAACTTGGTAGAAAGGCTCTCTATATTAGTATTCATTACACTTCACATCTCAGAGCAGTTAATTGATTTCACTGTTCCTATATGCTTTGTTTTGCTTTATTTGTTGAACTCCTGCAGGGTTTGCAAATGCAAAATGCACAGAAACCTTTAATCTTACATCTTGCTCAAGGAAAGGTGGCTTGTGTTCCTTAGAATGGAACATATGGATGACTCATTAAATTGCATCCTAAGCACTTCAGAAACAGTAGCCTAGAGTTTTTTCCCAGAAGAAAACTGAGTTTAGTAAGGAAGTTGAATACTGATAGAATGACACTTCCCAACGTCTGGGCAAATACGGTAGCTTAAATTAAAGAAATTTACTGTTGCTATCCCATCAGATTACTGAACTAGATGTCTGAAGTCACCAATCCAATTGATTTAGGAAGTAGTGTCAACTATTGAGATTTTTAAAAGTATTTTTCTTTTTAGAGACCAGGCCAGGATAATGAATGAGTGAAGACATTCTATTTTGGGAAGGAAATTCTCCAGAGTGCTGACCAAACAGGAATGATTTACTGACATAATTATCTATCTTCTATAAAACTGTCAGCTGACACTGCCCTAGGAATTATTCACCCGGACTGAAATCTTGATTTGGTTTCGCCTGAATACGACTAGCAATATACATTCAAATTCACATCTGACTGGAAAAAAGGGCAGATGGACATTATCTTTATCCAGATCAACATCTGAATGCACACTTGATTCCTGATTCAGTGAGCAGCGTGTATGTAAAACCTACTTCTACAGATAGATCTCCAAATCTGGATCATCTCAGCATATACCAAAACCTACATAAACCAACTTTATTTTTATAATTAAGAAGAATTCTCTCACAGATGGTGATTTTTGTATTATTTGGAACAAACGTCAATAATTTGTATACCAACTTTCTTGTTTTATAATGCACTTGTATAAAAAAACCTATTTATTGAAGAATTGCTTATTTTTACATGCATTTGGTTTAAGGTTTTTGGTTTTGTTTTGTTTTTTAAGTTCTACAAGTGGACGTTTTGCTGTGCAACGTCCATTTAGCTGATATTTGCAGTTTTGGAGCTTTGGCTGGCTATAAATTACTTTTATAAGCAATTAAGAGCAATATTTAGACTTTTTATTCAATAAATGCTTACAAGCCACAATAGATATATATGAATAATGATGTTTTGTAGGTCTGAAAGATTCCAGAGTAAGCTGTTTCACAGTAGGTAAATAATTAAATTTAGGAAACACTTAGCGATCCATAATCTCTTTATATGACAATAAATTCACCACAGGAGAAAATACCTACATAGCATCTCATGCTTTTCCTTTAAAAAGGAATCCAATGCATTTATATTAAACATATGCATCTTTATCAAATGACTATCCATAAAAAAGGCGCAGCAGTATCATAAAAATGGTAGAAATATTACTTATAACAATTTTTTTTACACAAAATTACTGTATTGATTGCGGACAGTGATGACAATTAAACCTATAACTTTCACAAATCCATATCCCAAACAAATAATAATCCTCTTTTTTGACACTGTTGTTTCTAAGTTAGAAAATAATATATTTTTTAAAGTAATGTAAGCATATGAAGATGTAGTATTATAACTCTCACTTTTGGAGAATACACAAATATTTTGTTGAATCAGGAAGTACACACAAAAAGAGATATTTGATACAGATATTTATTGGCATGTTTAAAATAGTTCATTTTAATTTTTTAATCAAAATCTCAAGACTTTCAAAGTTGCAGCCAATTATATTCACAGTGGTTTAGTAAGTTGTATCCTAAAAAAAAAAGATAATTTTTTACTTCTGTGAAGATACATAAAAACATAGATGTGCCTGAACTTAGATACTGCCACTTTAGCACCTGATTGTCAAATACATTATCTCTTACTACAGGAAAAAAAAGTTATCAAATGCGTGGCAAAAATTACATGCAATACTTTTAAGACTTCTTTATTGAGATGGTTTCCCTGCACATAGCTCTTTCATTCAGGCAAGAAAAACAAGTGAACACCGAAGGAATATCTTTAAAGATGTACATCATTTCTTCTGGATGAAGCCAATTTCTCAGGAATGAGGTTTAAAAGACAATTTCTTAACAAGTTGAAGATTTTTAATGCAAAGTCAAATACAATGCCAACAGCAGCACTTGATCACCAAATGGAATTTTATATATGAGAAGATATATCTTGACTTTAATTGTTTCTATTTATTTGTAAAATATATTTGTGTATATATGTAAAAGTTAGTTTGTATATATTGCTGAAGTAATTAAAGCTATATTCATTTATAGACTTTGGTGACACAGGTTTCTGAACACGAATATGTTACATGAAAAAACTGCAATGATCATTTGTTCTTTCAAGACATCTCTACTTTGTATATAAGTGACATTCGCAAGCATTAAAAGAAATAAGCCATTGTTAGTAAAATTGCTGGAATGATTTGCTATATTTGCAGAACCAGAAGAGAGCATGTTAGTGGGAAAAAAAATAAATCTATCATTATCTATTTGAAATTGGGATCCCCATAAATCCCAACAGTGCATACACATTGGGCCTTTTATCTTTTTGGCATCTGACTGCATTAAATGCAACAACATTTTTTTTTTTTTGGTCATGTTCCTTTTTATCTCATCACCAGCTCAAAAATGAGACAGATTTGAGTCATCCTTACTTGCACTGGGTGTTAGAGAAAAGTTCCCCTGCTTAAAAGTGGCATCATCCAATTATAGCTGCAGGGTGTGTAGAATATATGCTAGGATTGCTATACACCCCTGTAGTTGGATGAATCTATGAGGTGCATAATGGCCATTTCAGGCCCAGGTGGCCAGACACCTTCTCTGGTCCCCAGTTAGCCTTGTTTGCTATTGCATTGCTGACATCTTAAAGAGCTGATCTCAGCAGTGTTGTAATAATGATCCTTTGGATTTGCAGAAAAGCAATTCAGCAACCTTTAGAAGTATAAAGTACAACCTTTTTGTGTTCTCATTATCCTGCCTTAGCTGCATGTAAATTATTTTCTCCCCCCCCCAATATGCTCCTATAGTATTTAGTACAGCATGAGACTTGGGTGTTGCTCTTTTACATCCTCTGTAGTAGTCATTCTCAACGCGTAGGCCAGTGGTGGCGAACCTATGGCACGGGTGCCAGAGGCGGCACTCAGCCCTCTCTGTGGGCACGCCCGCCGTTGCCCCAGTCCTAGGCCTTCAGCTGGGTTTTATAAAACCTTTTCGCTTTAGGCCTCCACTGCCATGTGCAAAAAAAAAAAAGGTTCAATCAATCAGTCAATGGCAAAGTTGGAATTGATTGATTGAACTTTTTAATCCCACCCAGTCTGCTGTTACCACCGCAGCCACGTCCACCCAATGGGCCACGCCCACCCAAATTGGCCACACCCAGCCAATGGGCCACACACCCCGGCACCCGACGATGCATAAGTAGGCTTTGGGTTGCAGTTTGGGCACTCGGTCTCTAAAAGGTTCGCCATCACTGGTGTAGGCCATGGACTGCTGGTGATCTGCAGAGATCTGTAGGACATCTGCCATAGCCAGGGGCCAGAGCACATTCTTTGTCTCACCCCTGCATCCCCCTGGTGGCCAAGACATGGTGAAAGCCTTATTATCTTAGACCAGGGGTCTTCAGATTTGGCCCTTTTATGACTTGTAGACTTCTACTCCCAGAATTCCTCAGCCAGCCACGCTGGCTGAGGAATTCTGGGAGTTGAAGTCCACAAGTCATAATAGGGCCAAGTTTGAAGACCCCTGTCTTAGACTCTACCTCTCCATAACCCCTGACAAGTAGTTCAAGAGAAAATGTCAATGGCTGAGAACTGTCCATTAAAGCATGCAAGTGATAACATTAAGTTATCAATGTGGGTAGTCAAATTAAGAAAAGTGATTATAAGGAATAAGTCTCAAGTGCAGTTTTTGACTGTGAATCTGCATGTATTGTGTTAAGTGGAAGTTCTTGTTTAAAGTAAGATGAATCTACAAATGGAATTTAATTTAAGCTGGAGATCTTCCATCCAGATCTTCCTTAGTAGAACTCTCAGTGACCTGACCAAGAAAGGTCAAATCACTAAAGAACAATCAAAAGCTAAAAATGAAAACAAAAAAATGAACACCCACATGAGCAGAGATTAACACCAAGATTAATACTAGATCAACCATCGAGCAAATAATACCCCAATCAAGAAACCACCAGCTCAGAGAAACAAGCTAACAATAAACAACAACTTAATCAAGGCACCACCGAATCCATTCCCACCAGCACTGACAGGGCAAGCACTAGTGTATAAAATTAGAGCAAGCCCCACTCCCTTCTAGCACTGATAGTTACCTTGTTTGGTAATGAGATGTCTGCAAGAAAACAACCAAGCTCAGAACACAAAGATCTAATTTGTTATCTAGTTTTCCAAAAAAGCTGATTGCTACATATATAATTCCTTCCAATGTATGAAACCTAGACACCATTTGCTAAGCTGAAAACCACTAAGACAGTGGTGGTGAACCTATGGCACGGGTGCCAGAGGCGGCACTCAGAGCCCTCTCTGTGGGCACACGCACCATCTCCCCAGCTCTGTCTCCTCCCAAGGCCCCTTCCTCACCAGTAGCCCTCCCGGAGGAGAGTCGCCCCTGGGCGCGGCCCACATGAAGCAGCGCAGCCAAGAACATGGTAGCCGGGCAGCGGGGACAAGACTCTGCCCTTGCGCCCCATCATGCGCAGATGATGCTGCAGGGCATGGGCAGAGGGTGTGGCCGCCACGGCGCTGCTGGGCTGCCTGGGTGATCTGTGGTGGGCCATGGAGGTGGAGGGTAGCCCAGTGGGCAGGGCGGAGCAGGGATGGGATGGGGGGCAGTTTTGGGGCACTCGGTCTCTAAAAGGTTCGCCATCACTGCACTAAGAGAACAACTTCCCTACATATGATTATCATAATTACCATCATCAGCTATCCTCCTAGTTTGTAATATACATGGATGATCATTTGGTGCTGACCAAGAAGAAGGATGTTTTCCTACGGCAGACCATCTTTGTAGATGCAGTCTGAAATGGATACTATTTATTACAATTTGCCATTACTGCAAAGCAAAAATTCTGACACCCTATGTTAGAATTCATAGCCTAATTCTAAGATCAGGCAGCGGAGCAGAAAAATAGCTTTTCTGGTCAGAAAGACCTTGTGTTACGACACAATGCGTTCTTCTTTGGCTCACAGATGCAACATCACAATGCCTGTAGGAAAAGGCCAGAATTTGCATTGTGATGCCACAACACTGCGTTAGTCCATCTATTCCTCCTTGCATATGCCTCTGAAAGCAGATATTTTTTGTGCATAAAATGCAGACTTTCATGGTTCCCTTCGGTGACTAAACTCCAATGAGGAGCTCGTGTCTGCAACATAAAATAACAGAATTCAAAGCATGACCCATTTCCCAGCTCAAATCTCTGCA